AAACAATCATAAAAAAACTAGTTTCATCATAAGTATTTAGACCATTACAAATTAAAACTAAAAACTAAAAAACAAAAGTAATAAAAGAAGATATTATACGAGGTTTAGGTTTGAGTTTAGATTTTATATAGAATAAGAGAAGATACTATGGGGGAGGATGTATAATAGAAATATAGACTATTTGTATACGGTCCGGATCGGTTCCAATCCGGAACCGTGAGGTTCAATCCGGAACCAATCCGTGGACTACGGATTTTTAATTCTTCAATCCGGAACCGAACCACGGATTCAAAAAACCAATCCAAACCTATCGGATTGGACTGGACTGGATCGGATTACGGATTTTACGGATTTCTTGCTCAGCCCTACTACTCACCCCTCAGAGCATAAGACTACTACACTGACTGAGCCGAAGAGACTCCCTGATTGGCCCTCGAGGCCTGTACTGACTGTGCTGGTTGGTGACTCTGTGTCTGTCTCGAACCAGACGCACCAGGTGTGCCACCTAACTGTGGGCAAAACCTCTTCAAGTGACCCACCTGCCCACACTGATAACAGGTGAGCGACTAGCCTCTGCCTTGACTCTGGCCTTGAGAACGAGCCGAAGATGAAGCTGCTCGCTGCCTTCCTCCCCTCTATGGGCAAGCTGGAGACTTGTGGCCTAACTGACCACATTTGTAACAGGTGATGTCTCCCCGACTGCCTCTCCCAGAAGTCGAACTCGGTACTAGAAATGTAGACCTCGAATACGCTCCCTGGGATTGTTGAGGATTAGAACCCCTCTGCCTCTTACTGTCCCTCTGACCATCCTGACTCCTCCTAGAGCCCCTCATTCTCTCCTCCTCCGCATACATAATAGTCTCAAGATGGGCTGCAGCCTCCACAAGGCGCCCATAGTCTCTGATCATGAACCCAGCAACTCTAAACATGAGTCCGGTCCTCAATCTCTTTTCGAACTCCAGACAACGGCGTTCCTCAGTCGCCACTAACTTCGGTGCAAACCTAGACAAGCTAGTAAAGGTGGCCTCAAACTCAACCACTAGTATATTCAACTGCACCAACTTAGAGAATTGATCCCTCAACTTCTCCCTTACTATAACAGGTAGGTACTTGTCCTGGAAAGCTTCGACAAAGGTTTCCCAAGTCCCTCTAATGCGCCCCCACGCATACTTCCACCACTGACTCACGTCTCCCTTCGGCTGGAAGGACGCCAAGGTCACTTTCAAACCTCCGTCTTCGATGCCGAGCATCTCAAACGTCTTCATCATCTGCTCCAACCACTCGTCAGCCTTCAATGGCTCCTTGGGATCACCCAAAAACTCGTCCAGATTCGACTGGAAGAACTCCCTCTTTAAGAACTATGGCCCTGTTTTAGCTACATGGGTCTAGACTTGATTCTCAGCCCTAAGAATGTCCATGGATTCCCTCAATACTCCAGTCATCTCACGGGCTTAGGCGCCCATGGCCTATTGACCAACCGGTTCGGCCACGTTGGCCTGACCAACTCCTTTCTCCTGTGCCGAAATTTCATCCGATATAGGCATCTCATGCTTTCTAGGCCTATCACGCCTACCACCACAACCTCGCCCTAACATCCTAATGAAGGTAACAAAAGAGATTAGCACATTTACAAATGTGCCGAGGCTAACTCAATCGCGTCCTAATACGATGGAGGACTGTAATTCACTTCACATAAGCACATAATCACGTAAACACATACGAATTTCATTTTTGGATAATGACTGTCCCGTGGCGTTGCTAGAGTTCCAGTTAGAAATGGCAACGATCAAGTGTCTTTCCAACAGGACTCCCAGAAACCCGTAGACCCAATCAACATCCTAGAAATCAAATCTCATACCCATGTAATCACATAAGCATGTTATCATATAAGCATATAACATCCATAGTTAAGTCTCTAACAAGCAAGACAAACCCATTGTGGTACTAACCACTTCCCACGTACCCAAAGTATTCAAACTCGGTACGCTCTGATATCAAGTTGTCATGCCCTCAAAATACAACATAAATAATCCATTCATAAGATCTATAAACATAATAAAATGGTATACTTCATTCATCAGAGTTTATATTACAAAGGGGTATTACATGCGTTATACATTCATAAATATCCATCATGAATCTATAGCATGTAACATTAGATTAATAATAACAAAATAGATGCCCTACGGGCTTACATCTTTCCAAGTTATCACTTAGTTACAACATATGAAGAGTCCTAAGCTCTATACATGTAAAGCCCACGGCTTGAATAACATTTAACACAAAACGAAATAACAAAACGGAGCTTTCAGCCCCTAAACCTCCCAAGCTATGTCCTTGGAGGCGGCATGTCACCTGTACCTGAAAATGATTTTCCAAGTAGGGTGAGCCAAAACCCAGTAGAGATATGCTAAAACAATATATAAGATTTAACTAAGATAAAAGCATCAGAGAAATGTGCAATATTCTTAACCAACACATATTCTTTCCAAGTCCATTCAATATAGATAACCATACCTTAATTCATTTCCATTCATCCATTTCGGGTAAATCTATTAATCAAATTCATTATTATCTAATCAACCAAAATGATATTACAACTCAATGGTTTACAATTCAATACATTCATCAATCCAACACTTCCATTTTCTTGCCATTTTACGGAATTCATATCCGAGGAAATCGACACCCATATATATAAGATTTTGGGACTTTCACCCTAGACACTCCGGCCAACTTAATTTTCAATGGAGTCCATCCCCTATCTCCTCCCAAACAATGGAGTACATCCCCTATCTCTTCCCAAGCAATGATACATATACAATGTATTTAAAAGCGTTGTCATATACAATGACTAACCAAATCACATATTCAAAGGCTTAATCAAATAGTCATATTCAATGACATAATTCAAATGATTAGTTTCAATTCACCTAATTCTCATGCAATTTCTATAACAATCATAGCTATCCTCCACCGATAGCCCAAAGCTGATATTTCTAAACAAATATACAATGCAGCAAACAGATAATTTGTCAAATTTCCAAAGGTGAGTGATTTAACAAATCCAACTACACCATTCAATTATACACCCTTTCAATTTCACATTTCCCACATCAATTTCATTATTTATTCAAAATAGTTCTTTAACACAAATTAGGGCAAAACCTTCCTCTCTTTCCCAATATCATCCCCAAGGCCCAATCTCACAATTTATTCTCATATAACATCATAATGAAGTCCTCACTTACATATATGGAGCCAAATATAGAAAACCCCTCTTTCAAAATTCAAACACAAACCCTAGCTTCCCCCAAAACCTCTCAACTCTACCATCTATACAAAAAGACCAATACCTAGGTTAAAAACCATAACAAAGATTAGAATATCCCTACCTCAATGTTAGGAGAGCAAAGGAGAAGGTGGAGACACTTTAAATAAGCCGACACCACGATTTATTCGGATTAACACGGAGCCCCCAAGGTGCTCTACCTTTTTAACAAAGGAACTAGGGTTGAGAGACCCCCAAATCAAGGTGTATTTATAAAGAGAGAGAGAGAGAGAGAGAGAGAGAGAGAGAGAGAGAGAGAGGGTTTTAGAGAGAGAGTCGGATTAGGGTTTTAGGATGAAAAGAAATCAAAAAGTGAAGTAAAATGACCTAGCTGTGAACTGATATACACGACATTCGCTCAAGCGACCAGACACAACAAGTAACCTCGCTCGAGCACAATAAGCGTCGCTCAAGCGTAAAATGCAAAGCTTCAGAAGTTTTACAGACGCACACACTCGCTCAAGCGCAATAAACCTCACTCGAGCGAAGAAGCAAACAACACAAGGTTCACTCGAGCGCAAGAAGCCTCGCTCAAGCGAAGAATTTCATCTTCCCCAGAAATGCTGTATCTAGAAAGAAACCTGAGAACTCCTAATTCTCGCTCGAGCGCAAGAAACTTCGCTCGAGCGAAGGAGCAAATTACACAAGACTCACTCGAGAGCAAGAAGCATCGCTTAAGCAAAACTCAAATACAAAGAGTTAAAGGAGAATAACAAGACATGGATATAATATTTAATTACGGAACCCGAGTCTAGAACATAATGAAGGTCGGGGCAAAACCAGGATCACTATACCTCATTCATTTGTAAGTTTAATCCTCTTTTGTAATTAATATGTAAACAATTCATTTAGTGTAAACTTGTACATTAAGAATTTTTTTTTTCTTTTTTATTCTCTATCCTTGTAAATGACCAATAACAAAAACACATATATATATATATATAAGCGAAAGCGACGAAGAAAAGTTATTTCCAGTTCGCTCATCCTTAAATAAATTTTAAAATTAAAAAAATTGAAGTGAAAATCTCAAATAAAATAGTGAAAAAAAATATTTTCATTTTCATGTGAAGTTAAACCTTCTTGTATATGGTGCAAGCATTTTTCTATGTATGGTATAAATATTTCTTATTTATCAGACGCAACCAAGAAAAGTTTCATTTGTAGTGTTACTATTATTCTTTTCTTGCCGTCATACTGATCCACTGAAATGCAATTATTCTTAAAAAAAAAAAAAAAAACTTTGATTTTCAACCTATGTTGTTTTCCTATCTAAAAAAAACCTATGTTATTTCCCTTGATTTTTTTTTTCCAGTTATTTATTTATTTAATTTTTTTTCTGCGTACAAATTTTATGAATTTAACAGATCCTAACATAATGAATCAAGATTATTTACAGTCACAAATTCTTAATAAATAAAAAAAAAAGAAAAATACATAGTGCAAACAAGAATTAATGTAAAAAATAAAAAAATAAAAAAAATCTAAAAACAGTACTAGAATCAAAATTGGGAGGAAGGCTCCTCTTCTTGGATTCTCTCCTTAGTTCCTTGCTTGGTGGCGGCTTATTGGGCTTATTTTGAGTTTAATAATTCAAATCGTTGACATTTTATGATTTGTCATATATATTATATTTATAAATAATTAAGTTGATCGAATATCGAAAATTACTTATACTAAAAGTTTTAGGGAGCAGGAGAGGATCTTAGCTCCAAAATTGGAACTTCAGCCCACAGAACTCTGCTCATGAGTCTCTCATGACTGACCCAGTAAATGCTAACCTACCTGAGGATGGCAAGGGTTAGGAATTGGTGGAGCAATTCACGAGCAGTGGTTCCGATCTGGGTCATCTCTGCGATTTTGTTCTATTCTTTGTTACAATTGGCCCTTCGAAATTCTTCTTCAGGTACCCTTTTCCTTTCTTGCTCTCTCTTTCTATTTATTTTCTTTCCTTTTCCATTCGATTTCCCAGCTCCCAAACGGGTTATGGAAACCCAATTAAATTTGTTGGGTTTGGTGGGTTTGTTGATCAAATTCATCATCTGAGTTGCCAATCTTGAAGAATTTATTTTAGGAAATTTATTGATTGGGATTGGGATTACGGTAATCCTGGGAGTGAGTTTGTTCTTTATTATATAATATATTTTAGGAAACTTTTTAACTTTTGAGAACAGTTGCATTTACAGTTTGATGGGTTTTCTAAGCATGATCAAAACAATCCACCATTTTATCTTTCTCATTAAATTCGTCTACATACGTTACAAAAATAATTGCTGCAGTTTGTTAAATTTCGGTATTTGAAGATAACTTTGACTGATGAGGTGTGAAAAATTCTTCATATATGGAATTGGACAAAATTGAACTTTGCAAATCATTAAATTTTGTTGTTTTAGTAAGATTTAGTCACTATGAGACCAATCACATGGTGGGTTTCAGTCACTTTTGACGATTACATGGATTGATGGTGTAAAATTTTTAAAATTTGGGAGTTGATGCAAGTTCAATTCCTTTAGGCGGTGTTTGGATCATATATTTAGGTAGAGATTTGTGGAGGGAGGGAAAAGAAGAAGGGAGGAAAATGTGAAATAAAATTAATTTATATTTCGTTTATATTTCCTTCCCTATTTCATTTCCCAATTTTGATGAAAAGTACTCAAAAATCATCTCCACTCCTTTCATCAAACGTTCATCAAATCAAGGGAGTCATTTTTTTCATCACATTGAGAACTCATCAAATCTTTTTTCAAATTTGAATTTGATGAAAATTTAAAAAGATGAAGCATTTTTTTCATCACATTGAGAACTCATCAAATCTTTTTTCAAATTTGAATTTGATGAAAATTTAAAAAGATGAAGCATTAGAGATGATTTTTTCCCATCAAATTTGATGAAAAGGGAAATTTGGGATAAGAGGGGAGATTTTAAAAAGATTTTGATGAAAATTTGATGAAATGATTGGAGTAGTTCATGTCAAATAAACCTTTTTACTCAAATTTGAAGTCAAATTAGATGAAAAATTGGTGAAAGGATGGAGATGGTCTTAGTGAATATTTGGGACTTGAACTTGGACTTGAGATCTTCAAAAGAAGAGTTGCTGCGAATTTTTAGATTCCCAGCATGGACCAATATTTGGTGTTTCTTTGTTTCTAATATGTTCCATTAGCTCTTGTTGTCTGGATTTATGTGGTATTCTACTTTGGAGTCATCATGATGCAAACACTGAAGATGTTATATGTTAATACAAAAGGCCTACTCATATATAGTTTATACAATGGACAACTTGAGTGGTCTGGTAACTTTTGAAGAAGGTTTGGAACAGATAAGCCAATTTCAAATCAGGAACAAAGGTCAAGACTGTATGATAAGATGTCAAGGGATTTAGATGAGCATGGGGCAGCTTTTCTTAAGCATGGAGAAACTTCTCAGTCATTATCACTTTCAGATCTCTTCACTATGAAGGATGGATCTGTAACACCTAACCTTAAGGTAAAATGTGAGTATGCTAAAATCAGATTCAATCTTACAGTTTTTGCCTTTCCCTTCATCATGCCAATGATGTTTTGTTTACTTTTGTTGTCAGGCTGCCATTCCTCCTGTGCGAGCTAATGTTTTGTATCTCAGTCCACAGTATTCAATTCCTATCTCGTAAGAATTTGTACAACAGTAGAGCAAATTAGATATATCTTTAGTTAGTTCCTATCTTTAGTTCCTATTTCTAAAATCATAACACCGTTTTTGTATGTTGTTGCCACTAACTATGTTTCGTTACATACCCATAGAAGACACAGCCTATGTTGTTGTATTCCCTTATATTTGTGATTTACTGATTATGAATTAGCATAAGGTATGATACTGAATGGACACTAAAACGGCAAAGAAATACTTTCCCCATCCTATTTGTTTTGGTCCTCTAGTCCATTTGGGATGTCCCAAATTGATCCATTTTAATAAAAGATAACCAGTGTTATGATTTTACAATCTCATCTTTCTTTTCATGGGTGTGAGTTGAGTGCATTTAATAGAGGAAAGTATGTGGATAATTTTGAATTTCCATACCATATTAATTAGCTGTGAACACATTTAATGCTTGTTAACTTAAAAAGTTGGATTTTCCATAGTGGATAAAAAATGTGAACACATCTTTCTTTTCATCACATAGCTAATCACACACACTTGGATCTCAAGATAGATCTCGAGCTCACGATTCTTATGTTCTTTCTCACTATGGGTCCCACATGTATTTGTTAATGTCAGCCCCACTATCTTTGTGTCTAATGATAAGAAAATTAGGTGAAAAATACACTTACATATGGCAGATCATAATGATATTTGGTAGAGATAAACTATCTGGTTTTGGCAAAGTAAAACTTTGGGAAATGTAGTTTTGTTGCGACATGCAAGACTATGTAAAATATAAAAGAGGTCAAACTTCACTTTGTCCCCTTATGGTTTAGGTCATGTGTGGTTTATCCCCCTAACGTTTGAAAATGATCACATAACCTCCTTGTGATTTGTGGACAAAAAGTGCACCATTAGGCCAATTAATGATTTAATGAAAAAGACTAAAATACCCTTGTAGTCATTTGTTTGGAAGGCAAAGTGCATTTTAACCCCTTGTGCTTTATTCCATGTGCGATTTAACCCCCGTGAAATTTGAAAATGAGCATTTAACCCCTTTATATTTGCCACGTGTTTCACATTTACTGTTAAATTGGACAGAATGTTAACGGTACACTTCAGTCCACAAATCACGTGGAGTTATGTGGTCATTTCCAAACGTTAGGGGGTAAATTGCACATAGCCCAAATCACAGGGGGTAAAGTGAAGTTTGCCCTATAAGAAATGTTACGAGAAACTATGTGTGAATAACTTTTTTTCACAAATTTGTCGATAGTTAAAATTCTATATTGAATTGGGATATGTCTTGCTCGAAAAAGGAAGTATCATGAGAAATGTTGATGGAAGTTTTGATTATCATAATTGTTGGAGAAAAGACATAAAATGCAGGTAAAAAAATAATTTTGAAATCTTTCCACTTTTTCCTATAGCTAGCAATAGGGATTTAAAATATTAAGAAAAATTATTCAATACAATGCTTGAGACAAATCTCAAATTAAAATAAACTTGTGATAGGCATTTTAAATAATACTTGAGCTTCCAAATGGCTCACCATTCACTAGCAGAGTTGTATCGGGCAGTTGCAGCACATTTTCTGCACTGTTCCACTAAATGAGAAAGGGGTGAAGAATTTTCATCCTTCAAATCTTGGTAGATAAATGGAAATGGAGGTTCTGAAATTCAGTTTACCTCTTTCAATCTCCAGCCAAAGCTACATGGAGTTGTTTCCCTTCTGACTTTGAAGTTTGACGGCTACTTATCCCGAGCAATATGAAAGCAAGTACTAAGGACTTGGGTCAGTAAGAAAAATTAAAGTCTTAAATACCTAAGGGAGCTAATAGAGTTGCCTATGCTCAGAAGTAATGCACACTGACTTTTCGAACAATTTGGATGCCATCAAGATATATCCAAAAAATTCAGGTGGAAAAAACCACTTATATTATTGGAAAACCCCTCCACTGTTATTCAAGAATACAATTATACAGTGAGTAAATAAAGCTGCAAAAAGCAATAAATAATGCATGTATGCCATTAACATTTTGTTGTACATTTTTTTTTTCGGTATGCATTTTTGTGGTTGTTTATGGGAAGTTAGTGTACTTCAGTTGCATGAGCTCTGTCTCTTTGGTAAATAATCTACAAATTTGGGGATCATTTCAGAAATCATTTTCTTTTCCTTTTCTTTTACTTTATGAATTTGGATGCTTAAGTTGTATATGCATGCTTCGGTTGCTGCAGGAAAGCTGTAAGGAGTATATTTCTTCCGCACTTTGACAAAAGTAAGCTATCTTTGTATTTATCTAAGTTTCGAGATTAGGGTTGTAGTTTGAAGTTTAAGTTCTTGAGGCTATACTGCTTTTTAAGTTTCTGCTTGAAACATCAATACTTCAATTATATTACACAGCATGAGTTTTTGATTGGCATGCCTTTGTGTTTCTTGTTCAGTGATCTGGTTTCAGAACTCTACTATGTACCATTTTAGCATGTTCCATGCATCACACCATATTACACCAGTTCCTGCAACTGAAGAGGAGGTAATAATACCCATTGGAGCCATTAATATGTTTTCTTCTTCTCTTCTCCTCAACGTGTTATTCTCATTGTACCGACTTACATTTTGTTATGTCAGATTGAAGCTGAAGCAAATGCTGTCAAAGCTGTTGCAGAGGGTCTCTGCCCATTAAAAATTGTCTTAGACAGGGTGGTTTTGACTTCAACAGGTGTGCTTCTGGGGTGCTGGCAGGTTACTTCCTTTACTTACATTACTTACATTTATATTATTATACATATAAATATGTATCTATTTATTTTTGTGTGTATTGCTGTTGTAGAATTGCATAAAAGTCACATATCTACGGATCCATATTATTCTTTGCAACTGAAGGGAGTTGTATTAACCTGCCTTTATTGGAGAGGCATCTTTGTTCTGATTGGTGTTGTGACCATGCTAATGTCTCCTGGAATTCCTTTGAACATCTTAAGTACAGTATTGAAGGCATTCGTCTGGGGAAGATGTCATAATAAGGGGATTGAATCACTGGAATCTATCTAACTGGGCAGTGGTTTTTCAATTTTCTTAGTAGAAAATAATGTGGGGGTTAATGGTCTTGGATAAATATTAATTTTTCTCTTCAGTTTCCACGTAAAAGCCTTTGCACATGCTGAATTCTTTTTAGTCATTCATTATGGTAGGATGATCAGGTGTAAATTGTGGTTTCTCATTTCAACTTAAGGAATGCAACTTTGTTTTCTGTCCTTTGACATGTTTTTCCATTCAGTGAAGTTCTGACATTCAGAACTCTCAACTCTCATCTTATTCTGTGTTGCTGAAGTCATTAATGAGATTGGTATCTCGAATGAAACTTGACTTTGCTAAAATATAGATCGCATACTTAAATTTTAAGGGTGATTTTGTCTGTGAGGCCCTTCATGACCACAACCTCTTTTCTCTTTCAAATTTTATTTGCAGCTACTCACCTCAACTCAACAAGTCATATCCCAATTCCATGGCGTCAGCTTCATGGATCCATTTCCTCCAAGTTATTCATAGTCATCCTCGATTAAGTTGAAGTTAATCATGAATCATGATGTTCCTTATCACATCATCCCGTGTTCTCCTTAGCCTTCCTCCTTTTCTTTTACCACCCTCCACGTGGATCAGATCACTCCTCCTCACAAGCACATTAACTAGTCTAGGATTCACATGTTCATACCATCTACAACAATTTTCACTCATTTTATCTTTTATCCGCTCCACTTCTAACTTCTTAATGGATTCATTTCTGACTTTATCTCTTCTTGTAGCACCACTTATCCTTCTCAATATTCTTATTTAAACCATACTCGTTCTGAACATGTTTAGGGGGTTAGTAGCCAATATTCAGGCCTTGTTTGTCATAACCTAAAAAAGTCAAAAAGTCACTATCTTATTTAAGTCACATCATACCCAACTCATATTTCATAAAAAGTCAAAAAGTGCACTTATTTAGATCATCCCAAACCACCCCATGCATCAAAATAGATCTTAAGGCAGTCCTCTAATATTTTTCCTTCAACTTAATAGGAATCCTACAATCACACAACACTTCTAATGCACTCTTTCATTTCATCCATCTCACTCTAGTTCTATGTGCCACATGCTCTTCAATCTCTCCCATCTTTATGAATAATTGATCCAATTTATCAAAATGGTTACTCCCTGTGGCCACAATCTTTTCGGCACAACTCTATATCTGGAATTCCCAGAATACATATGTGCTTAAGGATAATATATTGTGAATCACTATATTCAAAATCTGTATGGAAAATCAAATATTAGGGACGCGAATTATTGCTCCTTTATCTGATTATATTGTATTCTTGTGCAGGTTATCTCTGGAATGGATCCTATAACTATTCGTGCTAAATTGAGAACTGTTCTTCCTCGTGCCCCAGAAAAACAACTTGTAAGTACCATGTGAGCCTCTTAGTTCATGTTGAACAGCAGGTGGATATTTTAGACTCAAAAAGGAATATATAGTGGCTCAATGATGAGGTACCATTGGCAAGGTTGTGTAATATTACACATGATGAACCTGAAAATTTACCCTAAAGACTAAGATAATTTTTAATACAAATATTCCTTTTATTGCACTTATTTTCTCCAAATTCATGGGTCCCTAATTTTTAACCCACCAAAAGACTTTGACACTAATGTACACCTTTCCAATTTTGTTAATTCAATTTGGGATTTGGGAAAAGGAAAAAGGGTGATATTAATTGGGCCGGAAGTTATTGTTACTGAATGGTAGGTCTCATCGCCTTGCTACTGCCCTTGGTGCCTTATCTACAGCCATCTTCATCTATCACACCGGTCAACTCTGGTTGTTTATGCATTGAAAAGAGAAAAAGAAAAAAAAAAAAAAGAAGTTTCGTAAGGCTTCAAATTACTAGTCATTTAGACAAATTATGAGTATGGGGTTTGCTATAATTTCTCAATTGTGATTGTTCAGGTTTCTACCTTTTACTAATACTTGGTCATTTTTCGGCTGCAGTATGATGCTGCTATTCTTCATACATCATTCGCTAGGCTTCTCGGTCAGCCCAATGCTTCACTTGAGGTAATAATTTATAAGTGGCATTTAATTTGTTGCCTCCATATATAGTTACTTCTTACGTTGCATACATGTTATAACTGTAGTTTCAACCATGAGGGGAAAATATGCTTTGTTTTGGTTTATATAGCCACGTAGTCAGTCTTGAAAGGAGCTCCCTGAGCAGCCTGTAAACTGAAGTTTATTTGGAAAAGTTTATTTTATTTATTTATTTTGAACATACCTTATTCAGGTTTATTTGGATTTGAGTTTTGTAAATGAGAAATTTCTGAGCTCATGTCTTTTGGGATTTTTTTTTTTAATTGTTTATTTTTGCACTTTTTTGGTAGCTTTGTGGACGTGTCTAGATTTCATTATTTAAAACTTCTGCATCTTTAAATTTACATTTCACTTTTAACTATTTTTTTGATAAATAAATTTATTGTCAAAAGTGTCAAGAAGATGCTAAAGAAAACAAAAAATGGAACCCCAAACAAAAAAGGCAACACCTAAGCAATCAAGTCATCTACAAAGGTCCACAAAATCAAACAAATCCAGATCCACCCTCCCCGACACCCAACTGTACAGAACACCCAAAAACCGACTCCCGAGCCAAGACAGCATCCAAACAACCCCCTGAAAAGTACTCACATCAAACACAAAAGAGCCAAAGCCCAAGTCTTCCTTCACCTCTTCCCAACCCGACCCCCATCCCAACTACAAAGAACCTCCATCGCCCCCTTTGGCTGAACCCACACCACTCTAAACATAGAAAAATTAAGTGCCCAAAGTCAGGCAGCCACCTACAATGAACAAGCAAATGATCCACTGACTCCTCATCCCCACAACACATACAATACCAATTAATTAGAATATGATGACGACGATTCAAATTATCAATAGTAAGAGTCCTATCCAAAGCTGTCGTCCACACAAAGAAAGCCAACTTCGAAGGAATACCCGTAATGCAAACACAACGCCACGGGAACTCCCCCTTCACCTCCCCACATTTCACTTTTAACTTTGACACATCTTAATGTCTTTTTCAGGAGGCAGATAAAACTTCAGAGCTACAATTTTTCCACGACCTAGTCACACAACTAAACAACCAAATCCATGGGTTTCAGGTATTTCTTTGATGGCAGAGAATATTTATCTTCAGCAGTGTTCTTTGTTTTCTTTTTCTTTGTTAGAGGTTTCCGTTGAAGTTACTCTAAACAAGTTTTTCTTAAAACAGAAAATCTAGCATTAGTTGAAGAACGGCTTTCTTTTTCTTTACAGAGAATCTTGTGTCTCATCAGTTTCTTCTTTTTTTGGGTGAATTTGTTAAGGCAACTGTTACTGAGCTATGGTATGTAGAGGAATTAGATGTTTTGGCACTCGCATTGGATGGAAGAATGAAGGTTCACAAGTTCCAACTTGGCTGCTCAAAAACCTGACAATTCCAAAGCTTACAAATATACGACCAGAAGTTGGTTTCTCATCAAGATGGGCTTTTTTCGCTTCATTTTCTGCTATTGCAAATGCTGATTACTAATCAATGGTCAGATGAGTAAACATTCTTGTATGTAACCTCTATATTTTTTTCTTCTGTATTTACCACGCTTCACCATATACAACGAGCACTGTGATAGAATTCCAGGATTGCCCACGAAGTTGTCTACATATTCTTCTTATCATTTGTATGTAATTTCATGTTACATTATTGTAGGTTAGTACTTGAGAGATTATTTTATTATTCATGTTAATAACACAGATTATGAGAATTTATATCTATTTCAGCCTTTGAGCATTTGTTTTTCTTAATCGTACTTTAGATTCAAACAACAACAATGAACGAATTTGTAGTTTGAACTCTTCGTTGGAAAGGTGAAACGTCATCATCATATTGTCGTGGTCTTATCCGAAATGCCGTGTGTGGAATCTGCAAAATGAAAATTATGGGTGTGGACAACTGTGATTTGAACCTGTCTATTTTCTTGGAATTTTCTTTTGTTTGGTTATTGATAGAGCATGTGCCTCCCTGTGGATGCCACACTTATACTTGCTTGTACGTTACTCGCTTAGAGTTTGAGAATAGTCTTTGCATGAAAACTCGTCTGGAACATGTTATTTTAGTAATTTTTTAATTAAAATATGAGGTAAAAAAAATTAATATGTTTAAAATGATTGTTTGATTTTTATAAAAAGATGTGTAAAAAGTAAAGAGAAAAGTAAATCTTTAATTTTTTGATATGGGTTATAGGTTTTTTTGGTTTTTTTATAGTAATTTTTTGACTTTTAAGTTATAAGTGTTGTATGTCAAATGAGGCTTTAGTCTCATTTTCATCAATAATTTGTTAGTCATATGGATAAAAAAATAATGTTATCTTCTTTTTCATATTAAAATGTATATTTTTCCTTGTTTGTCCTATTGTCTTCACACTTTTTGTATTAATTTCAGTCCATTTAGCATTATCAAAAAGAAGATCAGTGTAATTAAGTCAAAATTGTAGGACTATTTAGTGGCATAGCAAGGATTTTAGGTAAGTGGATTCATTTAACAACTATCATCAATATCATTATACCAATATATCTTCTCCACAACCTATATTAAAATCAAACTTTACATTATAATTTTATATATTTTCAATTACATTGACAAAATAATTCAAACTTAATAAATACATATAAAACAAAAGTTGAGACATTAATATTTCAACAAAATTAAGCAAAGATTTACACTAACATAATTGTTCACAAGCTTTCATTTTTTAAAATCACTATATGTTAACTTTATTACTTAGGCTATCGAATACATTTTTTCCTCAATATTTGTGGCCAAATAATCATTGATTCAATTATAATAAATTAAAAAATAATCACTTATTAAATCAAAACAAAAGATCTTTTTACAATTATAGTCATAATTGGTAGAATTAATGACCAAGAGTGTAAGAGAAAATTGATGAAACTGAGTCAATCGATCGAAACCAATCAAAATTCAAATTTTTAGTCTGTTTTAGTTTTAAAATTTTTTTATATCAATACAAACTGAACTGACCAAATATTATATTTAAATACTTTTATATTTTAATTATTTGAGCATATATGATAAGTGACTAATATAACACATTTTTGTAATAAAATTAGAAAGAGAAACTGATGCAGCGCGAAATGTGAAATAATAACAATCTTAAAATTTGTTAATTCAAACAAGAATACCGAGAATAAAGGCTTAACAATGGTTGATTCACAAAGGGTACCCAAAGTTGGAACAAAAGACTATAAAATTTAAAATATATTAATTCTCAAAACTAAAGAGCCCTAAGGCTTACATCTATTATTTATAAGTAAATACAGACCTAACTTAAATAGGAAACAATCAGAATTGGCAAAATCGTAATGAGCAATACAGAAATAAGGAAATATAACTAAAATTATTAAAAATAAAAATATTGCAATAAAATAAAGTAAATACTAATATTTGTTTCCACGATCATGACAGATATTACGGAATCAGATTCCAAGGTCCGTGCTAGGAGTAATTGAAATTTTAAATATTTCCAAAAGGACAAATTTGCGAAATTGACCACCTAAACGATGGAATTTGTCCAAAATTCACTAGGGTCCATGCATAGATCTTGCTTAAAGTCAAGTTTTCCATTTACCCACCAAATTACACGATTTCAAGTTGAGCTCGTTTTTGCCTTTGCCTTGCCTATCCCTTTGATCCAATAATTGTACGGCCATACATGCTACATTAAAAACATTTATAGAGTAATTTTCACACATTTTCTTTATTTATTTTTAATATAAAATTGTACAAGCTTTTATGAAATCCTTTAAAAATTCAAGTAAATCTCTCCTACGTCAAATCGACAAAACTGGTAAAACTAAACCATAGTATACAGTTTGTATCAGTTTTTCAACTATCAAAACTAAAAAAATTGGTTCAGTACGAAATTTACCATCAATACCAATCAAACTATTTACACCCCTATTAATGACCATGACAATTGTAGGTGCTATTTTCACTACAATTCTTTATAAATTTTCTCCAAAAATTATATTCTAATGTGAATTAAGAATCATGTATGTGTAATTTTAAACACTGAAAATAAATTTTTAGAGTGCATTTATAATAAAGTGAAATAGGAATAACAATTTGCTCTTTTCTCTAATTTCACTAGGTTTAATTTGTAAAATCCCAAATATTTTGGGTAAATATTAAGAAAATTTCAAAGTTGAGTGGCGTCACCACTCATTATACACTAGCTCCGCCAATGGAACTATTTGTATTTTTGTCAAACCTTGGGAAAGATCAGTAATGATCTTCTTTTCTTTTCTTTTCATTTTTTTTTTTTTTTGGGTCTTAGTAAACTTTTTTCAAGATTTATTCGTATATACTTATTTTTTTCTTTATATGGGATCTAGAGTAGGTGTATTTAAAAATTAATAAAATATTAATAATTTTTTTTTTCTAAAGATAAAAAAAAAATTAAAATTTTTTTTGATAACCAAACCAAACATAAGCACAATGTAATCTACATATTCTCAACGGAAAAAAATAAAATAAAATAAGAAAAAAATTGAAATGCATCGATTATATTCATCTTAAGTATGATCTGCATTACACCATATATTTATATTTTGGACACTTTATGAATATTTTTCTCTTGAGTCTGGCATATCGATTACAATCAATGTCACTTTTTCTTTGTCTACAGTGATGAAATTTTGAAATACGTTTATACATTTTGTGGGATATTTTTGGGATCTTTTTTAAACAAAAATTATGGTGGAATATTTTCTTAAATCGTTTTTAAAACTGAATATTATGCCTCATTCAAGTACAGTTTTTTTTTTTTTTTATTGGCTTTTGGATTTGGCTTCTTTTTTTATATTTAATTTCCAATTTTTAAGCTCTGACTTTCAGTAAAAGAAAGAAAAAGAAAAGTGTGCGTACCGGATACTGCACTAGATGAAAGTGGATCGGGGCTCCGCACTAGGTTGGACTATCCAGGGAATAAGGTCCTTGCAGCAAGAAGCACCGTAAGAGGTGTCCAGCCGGGGTTGGCCGGATAACCCCTCCGGTGTGAGAATCGGCGATCGGAGAATAAGTGTAAAGAGTTCAGTTTTTAGTAAGTGAAGTTCAGTTACCTTCAATGTGAAGTTGATGTAGTTTATATAGAATTTCTTGCGTGTTTTCCAAGATGGTTTCATGGAGCTCTAATACTGCCAAGTTTCCTTTTAGCATGGCCCTAGGTGGGGGACCATCTGGTAGTTGTCTAGAGGTACTTACACTCATTGTAGTCATGCTGATAACAAACTACATTTCTCTGGTTTAATTGCTTCCGTGATTCTAGGTGTTGGGGACTAGCTGAGGTGGCAACTTGCACATGCATATGCTCATAGTTTCCACGTTTCTTTGAGAGGCTCCCTCGGCTCGGCCCCGTTGTGCCTCAGCTCGGCCCTTTACGAGGCTTCTGTTGGGATGGGCTTGCCCGTTCAAATATTTGTGTATGCATTCGGCCCGCTTTGGCTCTGATAATGGGTTCAACCCATCAGTTCGGCCCCTAGAATGGATCTGCAGCTCGGCCCTAGCCCAGTATCGCAGTTAGACTAGCCTTTCTACTGCGAGTTGGGCCCAAGTGCTTGAGGACTTGGGTGGGCTGTTAGTAATAGAACTGGGCTTAGTTAGGTTGCCCACATGCTCATCTGACCCATTTGGGCTTGGGAGATTGGACCGGCTTAAGGCTTGGATCCAAACCATTTCTTATTTAACCCCTTCATTTGCCCCCTAGCTTGCACTAAGGTTTCCCTTAGGGGGAGCTACAGTTTTGTACTCCAAGCGTCGCGTTACTTCGATCCTACCCCAGTTTGGCCTTGGTGACGGTTCAATCCTGACACACGACCCCTGCATGCGTCCTTTCATAGTGACACGTGGCGGCGTGGGATAGGTACGCAGAGATAGTGCGCCGATTCCATACCGACGGTCGTGCTTCGTGTACCTTCACACCGGCTATTGCAATAAATGCTCTGGGCTGTCAATCCAAAACCCTTTATTGCAATAAATGCTTGGTGCTCTGTCCAGACGTTTCGCTGCCGTTCTTGCTTCAGCGCTGCCTACTCATCACCGCCGTTCTGATCTCCGTAAGTTCTCCTGTGATTCTTCTTCCCTATCTTTTTCTGTTTTGATCGTCTCATTTGGCCCTTGCACCGTTGTGTTCCACATCTTGTTATCTGAGTTCTACCCCTGTCCCATTAGGTTTGTTAAATAGGAAAGTTCCGCTCATTAGTTGATACTCCCGAGGCCATGGCCATGTTTCGCATTGACTATAATATCCCTGATGATGTGACCTTTTCGCTGGCAAAGGTTGATGCCAAGCGTATGGGCACTAGGAGTACCATCGCCTTTCCGATTGCGGCCATCGTTGAGGGAGGGGTTCGGTTTCCCCTCGACCCTTTGGTGCACCGATTTTTGCACTAAGTTCAACTAACCCCGATGCAAGTGTCCGTGAACCTGTTTCGTGTCGTCTGTGGTGTATCCGCTCTCAACAGGCGGTTGGGTTTGAATCTTGATATCTGGGACATTTTAGGCTGCTACACTCTTTCGCACAACAAGGACCACAGCACGTACTACCTGCGTGTTCGTTCGGTCAATTGTCATCTGGTGACTGGTTTCCCCGATTTGGACAAACATAACGATGATTTTCTGCAAGTTGGTGGTAATTGGGAGTTCCCTGCTGGGATTGAATTCCAGTCTGAACAGATGCCTCAGAGGGATGGCTACCCAAGTTCAGGTCCTTCCCTCTAGTGTCTTT